ATATAAATATATATATACACACACACAAATTACCAAAATATATAGCAATCCCTGTAACACTATTTTTAACATCCCAGTTTACTATTTAGTGCTCCATATGCAATCTTAACACAAAATGTTTTTTCAAGACTCAAAAACAACTAGAACTAAAGTTTCCAAAATTGATTATGTATAATACAGTACGATACACTGAATAACAAAACCAGCACAGACTGAAAAATACAGAAAAGAGGAAAAGAAAAACCACTATAGATATATACTACACTAAGTCTGTAGCATAGAAATGAACTTTCTATTTTAAAAACTGTTCCATTCCTATAAATGATGCAAAAGTTAGGTTGTGGCTGGTGAAGAATTGGTAGGTTTGGGGGTTTTTTTTTGTTTGTTTGGTTGGTTTTGTTTTTTTTAAAAAAATGCACATTTCCAAACCAGATCAAATTACAGGAGACTCCAGATCTTTATCACTTACGAAGATATAACAAGTATATTTAAGTGTATATATTAAAAACCAAAACAGAGGAAACTTTCAAATTAGGACACAAGACAACAGCATGAATTAGAAGACTTGTACTATATAAGTTCTATGTAAGTGTTCAAGTAAAAAATCCCCTGTACCCTACCCCCAACAAGATGCCTCAGAAAGGTTATCCAGGCTAATTGCATACCAGGATAAAACTCCTCTCCAATTCAGGGTTATTTCCTATCTCCAACCACAAAAGAAAAGAGATTACAACACGAAAAAGATCACCAGCCCACTTACCACATAGTTGAAGCAGGTAGTAGTACATCTGATCTCTATCACATTCAAATAGATTTTGAGTTAATTCTACCAAGTGTTCCAAGGTCTCCATCTTTAAAAAGAAAGAACATAGTTATACCTCAGCCAAAAATTATTTTTCTATATATGTGCACTTTCATGCCATGTGCATTTAGCTAAAATAATATTTCTGTTTAAGAGTGCAGCAGCATTTACACTGAACATTAAGTTCACCTCAGCCTGTCACACATCCTTTCACAAACAAATATTTCAAAACAATTTTTCTTGGAATGTAATGACAGTTACAAAGAAGACATCATACGAGCCACATACCTGATTATTTGATATACACCTTTTTGCATACCACTGAATCCTTCCAGAGTGTGCTCTTAAGCCAGGAGTCTGTAAAATATTTCCACAAGAGCACACACATTACTTCCCATAGAACATTCTAAGGAAAAGTAAACATAATGTATGTGCTCATAATAACAGTTCATAGGTTTTTTTGTTGAAATCTGAATGAGACTACAAGCTCACAGATAATGAAGTTCGGTTCCATTTATGAGAAACTTAAAAATTGCACCCATTTTATTCAAGACATTTTCCTTTTTGGTTGAACTCTGCTGAGAGAGTTGATTTAAAATACAGTTCAGATGAACTGCAACGTTAAATAATATCTATCACCACAGTAAGAGAGTATTATTGCTATTTGCCCATAGTAATCCTTTGTATTACTCACGGTAAAGAGTTATAGCAAATGTTTCCAAACTTTCTTCACAATAAAATGTTTGTATTCCAACACCACAGCGATGGGTTCACAACTAGAAAACCATGCTCTCAACCGTATCACCACCATTTGGTACGTCTCCTCTGCTAATACTAGCCATTTTCTTACAACTATTAATATCTAAAAAAACCAGTGTTTTTAGATATTGACTTCTCTTGCTACTGCTCAGTAAGAAAACCAGAAATTTACAGAGCAGTAACTGTTAACAACTGTAACACACACCTGCCAACCCAGATGCCAGGTACACTAACTGTAAGGCAATTCCCATCCCAGAAGAGACCAAAGGCTTACTCTTAAGTGTGTGTACACAGAGGACCTGATGTGTAACAGTCAATATGCCACAGTTCTTTCTGTTATTAATTTTCCCAGGTTTGATGAGCCTTTGCTTATTCACTCCTTTGTTGTATCACGTGGACTACAGCTATAGAATACACCTTCTCAAAAAGGTTTCAATACTTGGAAACTCCACCTGGTACAAACTATTACATTGTGCCTTCTCAGCACCACAGACTAAAACATTGGTTCCTCCACTTAAACTCTTAAACAAACATAGAAAAAGTCAGTTCTTAAAGAAACATGCTACAGGCATGCCCGTCCAACATATCTAAAAAAGCGATACAAAAGAACTGAACAAAGCATCCATCGTCTTCACCTCTCACCCTTCCCTCCCACACAGTACTTGGATTTACTTTCTTGATACTCTCTTGTTTTAGCACAAGGATCATTTACAGAGAGGAGATTGCTTTCATTTCAGGTGTCCAGATTCACATTAATATAGCTCAAAGCGATTCTGAGGAAATGTCTGCCCAGCCCTACGGAGAAACATGTGTTTTGATTCCTGAAGGTTTTTATGGGTTAATATTATAAGAAGTCTCCACTGTTTAATCATGAAGTGCAACTTCCAAAATTTGAACTTTGCATAAAAGAGACAGTTTGAACAAAAAGCTGTGAGATCTATTGAGTCTCAGTTCCAAAACAGTGGAAACAATTGCCATCAAAAAAGTTGATCTACTTTTTGTCTTTTTAAACACAGGTAATTTCCTTTTCCCCTATTCTCCAAGTGCAGAATTACTACTGTTACATCTTTCTGAAGTAATTCAGCATACACCAGAAAATCAGCATGCAAAACTTCAGTTAAAACCTATAAAAATATAGGAAGCAGTGCTCTGCAGAGTAAATGTTAGGCCATATAAGCCTACCAATCATCCAAACCATTTTAAGTAATCATTGTAAGGGTTTTAAAAAACAGGACATTAACCTCACAGTTCTTCAATGGGGAGCATCTTGTCTATGTATTTAACTGTACTATAAAAATAATCTCAATCCAAGAGGTTACAGAAAAATAGTTGCTTCTCAAGTATTCAAAAGTGGTATATATTAACACAGGTTTGCTTTCCCGGTACTTGCTTTTTTCCCAATTATTCCCTCCCCCCCCGCCCAGTTATTTATGTTTATAGGTACCTGTTCGGTGCTTTTTTAAGAGCTACCAAGCAGTTTCACATAAAATATGCTGAAAACTAAGTCAAGAATTAACATCTTACACAACAGGCTCTTGAAAATGAAAAAGAAAACAGTATGTTGCCTGCATTTGTAGCTAATCCTCTTTAGGACATGGTAAAATTCAAATGCTGAATTCACTTACAACTTCCAATATCATTGCTGATCCGAATGCCAATGAACTTAACAGCTCCAAAGCTACAAACTTTTTATAGTAAATCCTTTCCTGTTCAGAAATGATTGATGTGTCTGTCACTACAAGGACAGCTGAGTTATACAACAGATATCCTTGTGTTTCATTTTGAAATTGAGAAGTGTTTTCACATACTGCAGGTCTCAATCATCAAAAGAACATCTAGGTCAGATTAACTAAATCTCCAGGGCTTGCCTGATAGTCCATATTTGTAGCTTATCCCTTACCATCTTAGGGAATTTTAAACATTGCATTTAGCAGGAAGCAGACTTTCTGCAACACAGCAGACTAAAACACAGAATAAAAAAAATGCCAGGAATAAAAAAAAAACATTAAGTAAAAACTGCTACTCTAATTACTCTTCCAAATTCTCATTTACAATTTTGATCTTGCTTGTTTCAACGGACTAAAAAAAAAAAATCTATTCTTGAGTCTCAGTGTTTTGTTTCGTTTTGTTTTTTTTTTAGTTTCTTAAGGCATTCACTGCTTTAAAGAATGAAACAACTATTAAGAGTCTCAAGCAATTCATACAGCATATGAACTAAACATGGAAGGTTTCTGACTTTTACATTCTCTTGGACTATAAAACAGCTGAACTGTACCAAACCAAAGGTTCCTCTGGCTTGTTATCCTCTCCCTAACAGTGCCTATAGGACAATATAAATGACAGAAAACCCAGCAATACTTCCCCCTTAGTGCTCTTTCACTTTCCAACTACTTGAGCTTCAGTGGTTCACACTATTTCTAGTGATTTATCTTCCATGACCTTCTCTGGTTGCCCCTGGAACCTCATAAGATTTACCATTCACAAGATCTTTTGGTAAAGGGTTGCCTCAACTACCTCCTGCAGAAAACAATCAAAATATTACTACTTTTTGTCTGTTTTCAGCCTAGCTTCTACTAGTTTCACTTGTACTGGAAGACAATACACAATTGATTTTTCTTTATCCTCTCCATTTCGTACGAATTTCCTGAGTGGTATATAATAATTCCCGGGTTCACTGTTTCTTCTCCAGACTAAGCAGAACTCACCTACTCTGTCGTATCTCCCACAACAAGCATTCAATACTTTTGATCACATTTGTTACTATCTTTGTGAGGCTCAACATACAACTCTACACTAATTTACTCACTGATTCTGTACCTTCACACAGCAAAGAAAAACTAACCAGAAGGGGAAAAAATAAGCTGCATCTTCAGAAGAACTCTTGCCAAGCAGCACTCAAAAAATCATGTGAATGGAACAATCCTAACAAACTGAAAGCATCTGATTTGTTCCCATCCTTCCTAGGACCAGTCACTTCAGAGAGGTGACTGAAGGAGTCCAATCACCAGAAAAATCTTTTCTGTACTAATGTGCTTATTTGAGCTAATTTCTACCTATTACAGCTGATCAGAAAACAATTGTCTGGAAAAATACTGACCTGTCAGAGGGGAATCTATTTGATGTTTTTCCAGATTTTTAAATAACGATAGAAATATTCAAATTTTGTTTACATTAGTGTTCTTGAACTGTTACAGCTAATAGACCAACGCTATTTTTTTACTTTAAAAAAAAACTTTTTAAAAAAAAGTTAAGTAATTTACAGAAGACATATGGAAAATATTTGTTCACTTCTGTCTTCTTGCCTAAAGGAACTTTTTTCTCTTTAAACACAAAACTTATAGAGAAAACCCACAAAAACCAACATACAGACCAGAAACCCTGTGGCATTGTTCAAAAGAGGCCTTTCAGAAAACTAGAACTTGAGAATGTCCTAAAACAGCACCCCTTTTGCTACGGCGGGCTTAGGATGCAGAATTATTTAAAAGCCAGCAGAAGTATTTTTCATTTGTCATGTACAAGATGGATGACTCTCTTGTGTTAACCTTCCAGCACTGCACTTCCACAAACTACTCCTGTGCACTGTTCGGCAAAATAATTGTTACGTATCCCGGACAACTTACTCTAGCTTTTCACAGTATAACTTCACCATGAATAACACACCCATTTAACCACTTAAGTTTAACTTTGCCCTCCTTAAGAGTTTTATGCTTTCTTCTAAATCCTTACATTTTCTTCCCAAAGTTCAAACTTTTCTTAGGGAAACAGTTCTACTATAATCACCAATCCAACATACCGGAAAGAAACAGCCAAATTTTATCAACACCATCTATGCTGCACTTTCTGATGCTATTTTTTTGGACAGGTAGATCCATTCATTCTTCTCTTTGCAGCTGAAAAAGCCCATAATAATAAGAGACAGCTAATGCTGCTAAAGGAAGAAGAACGTTTCATGATGAGTTACATCAACAGCCATAACAGACTTATGTTACCAGTACCAGAACCAGTTACTGAGATTTAGATGCCAAAGCAATGTCTTGCAAGAAAATGCGTTACTTCTCCAACCAGACAGCCTTGAACAGACAGCTATAAGAACTGATGTATGTCATTTCTAACAGCTCTCTCTAACATAAGCATCAGTGAAAACAGAACATTTGACGGGAAGTTCTTAATTTAAAGACAGATTTTTCCCTGATTCCACAAAAATGTCTATGAAAATCTCACAAATTCCACGCAGCTACAATGAAGCCTGGGATATTTTTGCACGGCAGCTTACTTGAACAAAATTTTTTACAACACAAACACTGTATATGCTGTGTTTGAATCTTCCCCTATGCTAAAACTCTTGGCAGAATTCCTCACTTCTACTTGGCTGTAGGTGTACTACTTAATTAGAAAGTTAAAAGAATATGCAAATATCAAGTTTCTGTACCTTATGGAGCCATCTGAGTCTAGCTGATAGATGAGATGGTTAAAATTATCTTACACTTCTGTTACATTTTTGCCTTATTACATACTCCATCTTCAAATAGCAACGCATTAGTTTTAAAAAAATACCAATTAAAGCATTTACATTAAGATTTTTAAAAATAATCTTACAT